GGGGCGGGCAGGGGCACCATGGGGGTAGCAGCCGGACCGGGCCAAAGGATTGTGGTGATTGGGCCGTGGCGTCTGCAGGTCACAGTGACAGCGTGTCCCCAGGCCACCCTTGCCTGGAGGGAAGGGAGGGGGAGGGAAGAGGTGGGTGCGGTGCGGGTCTCTTCCTGCCCGTCGGCACCTGGCATCGAGCTGCAGAGGGCCGAGGGGCCCGGGCCTGCCGAGAGACCCCCGAAGCTGGGGAGGACGTGCAGACCTGGGCAGCGGGGGCTGCAGACGCGCCTGGAAGAGGGGGGCAACCGGGAGAAGAGGGGCGACTCCCTGGCAGGGCAGGGCTGAGGGTCCTGCCTGGCCTGGCAGGGAAGGACGCCCGTCTCCTGCCGCCCAGAGTCCCTCCCCGTGGAAGGCAGCGGCGACCACTCATTGCCGTGGCCTGGAGGAATGGCCCTGCCAGCAGGCGGGTGCCGGGCACCCCCACAGTCCAGCCACCCTCGCCGCTCCAAGCCCACGTGGACAGGGCCTGTCGGGCCCCAGAGGTGCCCAGGGCCACCCCGAAGGCCGCCCTCTCTCAGGGGCGGATGCCGCGGCCGCGCCCCTCCGCGGCCAGCGTGCACTTGTCAGCCTGGTGGACAGCTGGGGAGGGCGGCCGGGAGGCGCCGGCCATTGGGCAGGGCTGGCCACACCCCCACCCCCAGCTGCTCCCTCCTGGAGTCCTGTTTCCACGGATGACTCTGCTTATTCCTGCCCCCGTCGGCTGGTCTGCCCCTCAGTCGCCGTGCCCTGTGTGAGTGTGGGCCTGCATGTGCGTGCGTGCACACACACACGTGTGCCCACACGCACACACACACGTGTGCCCACACGCACACACACACACGTGTGCCCACACGCACACACGCACAGCACAGCACACAGGCGCACATACAGACGCCCACATGCACGCACGCCCAGGCTGGAGCCTTCCTCCTGCAGACCCTCCCCGCTGCCCCTGGCACACGCCGTGCGGCTTCCCTCCCTGTCACCCCCACCACACCCTGCTCCGCTCCTCACGGCACAGAAGACGCTGGCTGCCCGCTAGCCTCGGGCTCTGAGCTTGTGAGTGCCCAGTCGGCGCACGGCCCCCGCGGTGACCGTACCACCCCGGGACACACGCCCGCTCCGTCACGGGAGCCCCGGACGCAGGGCCG